CCCAATGTGGTTCTGTCACGGTGTAGCTTGCTCAGATTTGCTAAAATAGACAGTGACCTGATGGGATTTAGTTCACTTAAGATGCATCCACATGAGGTGCTTTACTGTAGAGCAGTTTCCTGTGCAGTAATCATGGGAATCTACACATGAACATCCTTACCGTGCAGTAAATTGCTCTAATTGTGAGTAAATTTGCTACATGAAATGTAAGTAGCAAATTTACTTGAGATTAGTTACTGCACAGTAGTGCTCACATAGATGCCTGACCAGAAGCAAATGTACTCTCAGTCAGCTGGCCAGCAGGTGGTAGGAGATTGCTCCCTGCTCCTGGGAGCTACCTGCTGCTGGGGTGGGCCCACCACTGGAGCCCAGGTAGGAACTATATTCCCCTGCACCAGCACCAGGGAGCTCCCAGCCTTCTCCCTTCCGCTCTGAGATCATGATGAGGGAGTGGGGCCTGGGAGATCCTTTTCTCTCAGCTCCTGCTTTGCCATTGCGATAGGGGAGTGGGGGCCTAAGATATCCCAGTTCCAGTCCCACAACTTCGGAGCTGGTGCTGGGAGATAAGGATTTTCCAGTGCTGGCCCTATGACCATGGAGCTGGCACTGGGAAATAAGGATCTCCCAGCTCCTGCTCCCCAATTTTGAGAGGGTTTGAACCCTTGTCTTCTACTTCTTAAGCCTCAAGCCATGGTCCAGGCAGTATTGGTATATCTTCAAACTACTATTGAAGGTGAGCCATTGCTTGGCAAAGAAGGATAGCTAGAAGGAGAACAGGTGAAAAAAAAAGAGTAAGGAGGACTTATCTGGGAAGATAGAGTACTCAATTCCAGTCTCTTTTTTCTAGGAGTGTTTGTGGAATTTGCCTTTAAACACTCATTGGATAAAATGCATAACTAGAAAGAGACAACAGGGACTGCTAATACTAGTACTGATAGTTTTCCTTCATTTTATTGCATACTTAATGGTATATTTTTGGGTTCCTAGTGGCCCAGCTCTAACACTAGGGAGAACTTGCACTTAATCTATTCTACAGCCTGGTGCTGAGGACGCTCTTCCGAGAGGTGGGAGATGTGGATTAGTGAGGTCTTTCAATTCGGGCCAAACATTTTGGCAATGTGGGCCAACCATTTTGGCAAATGTAGCACAAATTAGCTCTACAAACTCCCTGAGTGCCTTTTCTATCCCCTTCTGCTCTTCTGATCTACAGCTCTGCTTTCTGCCCGTTTTATCTGCTGCTATGCTGCCTGCCTCCCACCCCCTCCCCCCACCCCCCAGTCTTGGCACACACAGAGGCTGCCCATGCCACTAGTGTTAGGTGACCCTACTTCACAGTAGCCTAATAATAATGAGCAGTAGTGTATTAACACTGTCCATGCTAAGATGCATTATTGAGCAGTATTTGTTGGCTACTGTGCAGTCAGCATCTCATGTAGACACACACAGAGAGGGTTAGGAGTTCACAGCTATCCCTGTGTTTAGCATTTCCTCTTGGTTATTAGGGCTGTGTGAAATAGCACCATTCCATTTTGACTTGAGTTTCAATGGAAGTGTTTAATCTCAAATTTCATTTTAAGTCAAAATAGCTGTTCCATTCCATTCCCTCGAAACAGAAAGGCTGTTTCGATGCTGCTTCAAGTTTCACTGGAGATGGGGAGTCAGACCACCTGGTCTCATTTCAAAGAGTACTTCTTGAAATGAGATAATATTTAGATGTGACTCACTTCTTGTTTTGTCTGCATGGGGATAGAGACCCTATAGAGGTTGCAGGATTGTAGTGCTCTGCTCTACTCTACCTCCTACGCAGGGAGAGAGGTAGAGCAGGGTGGACAGTTTAATAGGCAGACTGACAGCCTGCCAGGCCATCCAGCCATAGATGAACCCCTGCACCCTGACCAATTCTGCACCCTTTTCCTGCCCAGTCTTCCAAACTTATGTGTGCCAGAAGTAGAGGTACAGGCAGCAAACAGAGTGTTAGAACTCTAGGCATTCAAGACTTTGCCAGTTCCTTGGTCACTCACATGTTCCCATCCACTCCCAACACTTAAGGTGCTGCCAGGCTCCCACCATCATAGTGAGACCCTCTCCCACCATGGCCCCTGCCCACTCTCCCCTGCTTCTCCCCATGAGACTCCTCGACTCCCCCTTATACAGTTCTGATCCATAAAGAAAGGGAGAAGAGAGATTTGGGGGCTAGAAAGTAGGATGGCAGGGTGGTCCCATTGCTGATTCCCTGCCAGACCCCTATACCTCCTGTTACCTGCTGGATCCAGGATTTGAAATCCTCATGCCCCAAATCTAAACTTCTCTGTTCCACTGAGGGAGGTCGGGGTCACTGATATTCCAGTTCTGGTAGTGTTGCAGCCAAGGAGAACAGAAGTAGATAAGCAAGAAAGGGTCCACTGACATTGTGACTGAGGGGAGGGCAGGGGAGTGAGCAGCTCCTTGTCCCACTCTGGGAGCCCAGCGCCTCCCAACCCCAGGCACTGTCAGTTTATCAGCTGCACAGGAGAGTGGCTGGCCTACAAGAGGAGAAGGAAGGACAACAGGGTCTGGAACCATGGCAGGAGCTAGGCCTGTCCTGGCCAGTATGGGGGGAGACAGGCTGCCTGCGGCCAACACCCAAAAGCCCACCAGTCCCTGGGGGGCAAACGGGGATGGGAGGCTCAGCTCTCGGCCACCTGGGTGTTGCCCTCCCCAGAAGACTTACCATAGTCCCTGGACACCTATGCATGCCCAGCCCTCGATCTGAGGCAAGGCACCACATGGGCCCTAGTACAGAGCATCTTATCTCAGAAATTTTGGAAGCTATCACAAATAGCTTCTTTTTCATGGCTCTGCAAGCCCTGCAGCTGCACAGAGAGGCCGCAGTTGGCAGCTGGAATAAGGGCTCAGGGTTGCTGCAGCCCACAGTTGGGGTCCTTCAGATGAGCTGACTCCGCCAAACAAGAACCCAACACAGGACTTCTCCTCCTGGTCCAGCTGGTGATGGTGTCAGGGGACTGTCTGGCAGATGCGTTGGTCTGGTGGATGGAGAACATTGCCCGTGAGGACGCCTGGGAATGGGTGGACTGGGAATTCTGGGTGCAGCTCCTGGCCCTGGAGCATGAGCAGGCAGAGGCCCTGAAGGAGCAGAGCACAGTCATGGGCAGGGCAGTGCAGGCCATGGAGGATGACCACCGGATGAGGGCTGGACAACATCCTGGTCCTGGTGGTCACATTCATGCTGTCCACTGCCCAGCTTCTCACCCTAGGTTTGCCTGGTCCTGACAGCTGCCCACTGCCCAGCAGCAGGCTCCCCTATGGGCCTGGCTGGAGGTCCAACACTACCTCTACCATCCAGGATCCCCAGCCCCAACCCCCAGTTCCTTGCGACCTCGCACCCCAACCTGGGCACACTGAGACATTTAGTGCACAATTGATTATTACCTGTGCAGTAAATGTCTCAGTAAACACCTCAGTAAACACAAAACTAATAACTTTGCAGCAGAGTAGTCATTGTTAATATGAGTACTACCCTACTGTGGAGTATTTTCATGCACAGCAGTGTACTTGTAGATGCTGTTCTGGCTGGCTGGGGCACAAGGGTGCTTCAGTGTGGGGCTAGCTGGCAGGCAGCCCCCATGCTGAAGCATCCTTGTGCCCCAGCCAGCTGCTCCACAGGATGTGGAGCCCAGTCAGATCAGCCCTGAACTGGCAGGCTGACCCCTCAGGGTCCCCTGCCAGTCCGGGCTTCTCCAACATGAATCCATGTACTTCACATGAATAAACTCTAGGGCAATATACTTCAGAGTTTTTTGCTCCTGGGCACAGGTTCAGATGGTGTGCCCAGAAGCAAAAATCTCCACAGCAATAACCCCCAGTGTTCAAATGTTTTACCTTCTCCTATTCTTTCCAAGTTAAGGTGTCAAATCATAAGATCCCATTGGATAGTTCATTAATCCTGATCTGCCTGTTGAGTTCTACATGATATGCAACTGCCCTGAAATGGGTAGATATTGTTTACCCCTTGGAGATTTCCAGATGGAGGTACCAGGTGCTACCTGGAAAACAAATCCTAGAATCATTTACACAGAGGCTTCAGATCAGATTAATGAACAGTTTTATGTAATTTTATGGTTTATTAATAGCAGGAATAATGGGAGAAAATATGAAGGGTCAGATTAATCCTGCTACAACTCCAAAGACTTTCAGAGCTATTGCTGGGTTATATTGCTGTAGAGGTATAACATATATTTCCAACATAAAATTTTGGTTGAAGAATGGAAGTCTTTCTAAACCAGGATTTTCCACGGGAATGTATTGATTTCAATGACCACTAGGTAGGAAAACTGTTTGGTTCTCTACCAGCTCACCTCCCTGATCCATCAGTCACCTACCTAGTGGGGCAATGGCAAGCCAAGGAAGGCTTTAAGGCTTCTATGATGCTTTGCATCTCTTCAGGCAGACTATTACAGACCTGGAGCCCTGAATCCTCCCTGGCTCACAGGTATCAAATTTCAATTTAGGTTCTGCCACAAAGCTGGGGAGCCCAGTATCCTGAAGGCCTTGGCATCCAGGGCTATTTGTTTGTTTGTTTTTTTAAATTTAATTTCCATTCTACATAAAATTTTGTATTTTCATTTTTTCCCCTAAAAGCCAAAAAATCCCAATATCATCCAGTTCTACACTGGTGTGAAGAAGAAGGAATTGCTCTTGTTGATTCTAACATTCATACACTTGAATTTAAAACAGTTCCATAAAGTTAGAAATGTGCTTACAGGCTATGCTGAATGAGGATTGCCAGCTAAGTCAGAGCTTTATAGGTATAAACAACTTCTATGAACTTACAGATGCAATGTCCATACTGCATGCTTTTACAAACATACCAAAGGAGTACGCCCAGACTTATCCTTGAACACTTTTTTGTCACTGTCAGTGGTCTGACATTCCATAGCAACAGGCACTCCTGTTTCATATCTCTCCCCGTGAGTTCCCCTGTAGGATGTTATGTTAGGCATTCATAGAGTAAACACTTTTCTCTCCATCACTTTTCTGACAGCACATTTCACATCCCTGTTCCTGAGGCTGTAGATCAGAGGGTTTAGCATTGGGATCACTAACGTGTAGAAAATAGAGGCTATTTTATCTGTATCCAATGAATAGTTGGAACTGGGTCTGAAATACATGAAGAGAATTGTCCCATGGAATATGCTGACAGCCATCAAGTGGGAGGCACAGGTGGAAAAGGCTTTTTGTCTTCCCTGTACTGAACGAATTCTCAGCATGGCCACAATGATGAGAACATAGGACATGATTATAATCAGAAGTGTGCTTGTTTCAAACAAACTGCCAAAGATGAAAAGTAGCATCTTATTAATGAAGATGTCACTGCAGGACAGTTTTAGGAGAGGGGTGAGATCACAGTAGAAGTGGTTGATTACATTAGAGCCACAAAAGGACAAACTTAACAAACCACCTGTTTGTACCAAAGAGTTCACCAAACCCCAGAGATAAGACCCAGCCACCAGCATCACACAGACCTTCTTAGTCATAATGACCGTGTAGAACAGTGGATTACAGATGGCCACATAGCGGTCATATGCCATCACAGCCAAAAGGAACATCTCAGTGGTGACAAACACCACAAAAAAGCTGTATTGTGTAAAACAACCAGTGGAAGTGATGGCCTTTCTCTCCATTAAGAAATTGACCAGCATATTTGGAGCAATGGTAGATGAATAACAGGCATCTACAAAAGACAAATGGCTGAGAAAAAAATACATGGGTGTGTGGAGCTGTAGGTCGATCCTGATTAACATGATTATTCCCAAGTTCCCCAGCAAAGTCATAACATAAATGAGGAAAAATGTGACAAAGAGAGGGAGCTGCAGCTCTGGACGGTCTGTTAATCCAGCTAAAATGATTTTTTTCACTGTGGTGTGATTGTCTTCACCCATGAATTTGGCTTTCATGTTATCTGCAGAGAGAATAATTCACCATAATGATTTTAAGAATGTATATCTATCTATAACATACCCCAGACCAACTTTGGCCTCCCCTCTCTTTCATGTTCTTCTGCTTGCTATTCGTGGTTCTGAGGATTTCAGAGGTAGAATAAAGGGTAGTTGTTTTCTATTATCTTTGTTTTTAAAGGAGAACATAAAATAGCATTTCATAGTACTCTATCAGGGTACATGAAGCTCAATAGCTATACATTCTTTCTGAATTAATGTCTCTAACCATAGTTTTTAATTCCTAATATATGTACAACACAGTTGACAGCTGAATAGAGAAAATGATTTCACATTATCAGGAGCTTAGAAATAAATTATAACAGAAATAGTTTCCAAGATGGACACACACTCAAATATATTGAATTAATACAGGGTAACTTTTCATTAGTGGGAAATAAAGGAAAATAAAGCACATTAATTCAGGAAATTCTTTTTAAAAAACACTCCTCAGAAGAGACGTGCCAAAGCCTTGCTTGTCTGCCAAATTCTGGATTGATGAATTGTGATAGAAAGAAGGTCTTTTTTTTTTTCTAAAAGATTCAGTTGCTATGCATTATGAGAAAGGAGATTAGAGTGTTGTCCTTTATGTAAATTTTGTGTATGGTCTACTTCCTATTTTATGTATTTTGTATACTGGCTCTTCCCTGAAAGTTAACTACTTCTCTCCTTGTCTAATATATTGATGGTATAAAAGAGAGTTAATTTAAAAACAAAACACTGAAACTTATATGTATATATCCAAGGATATATTTAAATAATTTACCACATTATCTTGTTTTGAAAGAAGCCATGTAATACTTACCGGCAGGACAAAGAATTAAATTTGTTTGAGTGGCTCCACAGGATTTATATTTGTAGAATGAAGTAGTAGTGCTAAAACACATTTATATATTTCTTAGAAAGCCATAGAAAGTTCCCCACAGTTTTTATGAACTCCCTCATCACAGACTTACACAAATTATGCAGTTAAAATGTGTATCCCAGGTGTGCATTTTAGAAGCAGTAAACAACTGCCCTCAGATGTATTGTTCCATGAAAGAAAACAATAATATTTACTCCTACATCTATATTTTTCCCCTGGTTTATTTTCATATAATATTTCTTCCGGTTTTATAAGGAGGCAGGAATTCCTGGTATCTGGGCTGTGTCCAGCCTTGCTTACATCAATACTACAAAGATAGATTTCTAAGTTATTCTATATTTACATCTGATTATACCAGTTAAAAGGAGACCTGAATCAGATCCTGGTTCCAATTTCAATGATTAGGTTTGACCAAATTTCCTAATGGGACACATGCAAATCTTTCAAAATCTAAAGAATTTTATATTTAAGTTGGGATTTTGACTAACCAGAAAACAGTTGATTTGAAAGGACAGTGGGAGACAAAGAATTTAGAATACTATTGAAACTGAAAATGAGGATACCTTAAAAATGTATGAATAGCAACAAGCTCATCCCTAGTGCAACTTTTCCAACTATCAGTGGTATTAATGCAGAGATGAATGTGGCTCCCGCTTCGGGGTAGCATGTCTTTTAATCACTCAGGTGCAAAAAAAAAATGTTAGTTCAAGGAGAATTATCAGTGTAGTAACAGAACATATGTGATTATGTGGTGGCATATACCCACTCCTACATTAGAATTAAAGAAAATTAGGGTTGGAAGGGACCTCAGAAAGTCATCTAGTCCAAACCCCTGCCCAAAGCAGGACCATCCCCAAAAAGATCACCCCGGCCAAGGCTTTCTCTAGTCAAGTCTTAATAACCTCTAAGGATGGATATTCCACAACTTCTCTGGGTAACCTGTTCCAGTGTTTTACTACTCTCCTAGTGAGAAGTTTTTTTTTCCTAATATCTAACCTAAACCTCCCTTGCTGCAACTTGAGACCACTGTTCCTTGTTCTGTCATCTGCCACCACTGAGAACAGTCTAGCTGTATCCTTTTTGGAACCTCCCTTCAGGTAGCTGAAGGCTGCTATTAAATCCTCCCTCAACCTTCTGTTCTGTAGACTAAGCAAGCCCAGTTCACCTCAGCCTGTTCTCAGAAGTCATGTACCCCAATCCCCCTAACCATTTTTTTTGCCCTCCACTAGACTCTCTCCAATTTGTCCTCATCCTTTCTGTAGTGGGAGGCCCAAAACTGGACACAGGACTCCAGGTGTGGCCCCTCCAATGACAAACACAGGGAAAGAATCACTTCCGTCGATCTGCTGGCAACGCTCCTATTAATGCAACCCAGTAAGCCAATAGCCTTCTTGACAACAAGGGCACACTGCTGGTTCATATTCAGCTTATTGTCTGTTTTAACACCCAGGTCCTTTTTTGCAGAGCTGCTGCTTATGCAGTCAGTCCCCAGCCTGTACAAGTGCATGGGATTGTTCCGTCCTAAGTGCAGGACTTTGCACTTATTCTTATTGAACCTAATGAGATTTCTTCTGGTGGAATCCTTCAATTTGTTTAGGTGTCTCTGAATCCTAGTCCTACCTTCCAGTCTATCTACTACTCCTTCCCCTCCATTACATGTTAGGATCACTTCAGGGCATAGTTCTATGCATAGGGTCCACTTGGTTTGTGTGTGTTCCTTAGGTTCACAATACAAAAGCTCCTCTCCCCTCATCAAGGCCATGCTAATAATCATAATCCTAATAACAGCCACCGCAGGAGAAGCAGCCTAGGGGCCTTGGGGTTAGCATGTTGCAGACACTCTAGTATGTGTAGCCAATGATCCACAAGAGAATGATGTGGGAAGGGAATCACATAACCTCAGATGATCTGTATGTCCCCTGCCTGAAAGGTCTGATATACACTTCCTCCTGGGGACAGCCTTTAGCACAAGTCCAGATCAAGTCTCAAATGCATGCAGTTAAAGATGTTAAGAGATACCTCTGTTACTCTGACTCTGGACCGCTCCCCACAGGGAGCAATGGGAAGTAACTAATTTCACTCCCTAGTTGGTTTCCTTTGCCCTGTACAGGTTGTGATTCAGGCTATCCCAGAAAGCACGACTCACCCACTTCTTCCTCTTGAAAATTAGTGAAGCATGCGAGGAGCCTTGTCGCTGTTACTTCCACATAAGAAGGGAGACTACTTCCTCCTGCAGTGGAAGTCACTTTAGCCCTACAGCACTCAAAGGTATTCAGGTGGCTAACTATCACCAGTTTTCAATGGTAGTCTCAAACCCAAAATAGCTTTGAAAGTCTGAACCAGGAAGAAGCCAGCAGACATGGCCGTGTGTGCATGTCGATGCTGCCGCCATGCTGTGCCCTTGAGTACTGCTATGAAGCATATCCTACCAATTTGTTCTCACTCAGTGCAGTCCAACTACCAGAAAATAGGCAATGGCCACCTTAGGCAAAGGTCTTAACTACATATCAGTAAGAAACACTTGAGGTGGAGAGGCCAAGAGCAGCATGGCTCTCAGGAATCTACAGTGTCTTATATTTAGCGGTTGGAGTACTTAGGAAGAGACCAGGGGCTGGGGGATAATTCATGGAGGCTCACACAGGCACAGTAGAGGTGGAATGCTGGCATTCCCTCCGATACCCAAGTAGTGCTGCATTTTCTCAACTATAAGATGAGCCATACCCTCATCCCCAATCAGCATGGGGAAAAAATGTTCCTCATCTTTTGGTTTATATTTGTATATGATGCAGGGCAGGGATTAGGTGGCTGCTGTGGCTCTGACTCTGGCCTTGACCCCAGGTTGAAGCCAGTCAGAGCCAAAGCAGCCTCCTGTCTCTCCACCCCCTTTCCCCTCTGGAGCTTCTGCCCTGCTCCACCCCACTTACCCCCTTCCCTCCCCTTTATTGTCAGGTCCAGCTTGGCTCTGGCTTAGGCTCTGTTCTCTCCCAGGCACGCAGCACATAGAAACTCCTTCCTCTGCCTGGCCAAGCAGCAGCCCCAGCACTGCTGCATGATCAGGCAAAGGCTGAGCTTCCATTTGCTGTGCTCTGGGATGGATCAGCCAGAGCAGCATATGACAGTAAGAGTGGGTGGGAAGGAGAAGAAGCATACTCTGGGGGACTTTATGCGGGAAGGAACAGAAAATGGGAACTCTGGGAAGAAGTTATGCAGGTGACAAGGGGAGCAAGAAGGCTGCAATGAGAAGAAGTGGGTGGAGCAGTTGGCCACCTGACCTCCCCCCCCCCCCCCCCCAACC